TCCTCTCCTTTCTTAAAAATTCTTAAACATTTATTATCTATATATGGCATATCGCTCAGGTCAGCTGACTTGGATATGTGTATTGATACAATTAAAGAATATAATCCTTGGTTTCCAGATGAAGGAACTTTGGATGTAGAAGTATGGAGGAAGGCAAGGGTTAGTATAGAAAGGGCTATGCAACAGGAGGAGAAGATTCCTTTACGTTTTTGGGCTATTTGGTCGGTTGTGTACTCTTTATTAAAAGCTATGGAAGATGAACATATTGTAGAAAATCTTCAACTAGAAATTAAGCCAGTTATTCAGGAATTGCCCCTCACAGAGGAGGAGCAGAATGTAGTTCAAAATGACGCTATCGCTTTAAGTAGTGAAAAGGCGTCCAAACTAAAAGTAAAATCCACTACAGCCGACTCAGCTTTAGCTGCCGCAGCAATATCAAATTATGACAATCGCCCAATTTTACAGGCTATACTGCATTTAACACAAGAGGTGAAACAACTCTCCGTTAAGCAAAACCCGCCTATAGTTCCCTCTGCACCTCCTCCATCTAACCCTAATTGGAGTAAAGCCAAGCTAGCTTTGGCTGATTTACCAAAATTAGGGGATTCTGATGAGGAAAAGCCTGCCTTTGCTTTCCCTGTAATCAGACCTCAGCCAATAGATGGAGAGGCAGTTCCCCCTAGATGGGAAGCATTTAATATGGATGATTTAGCAAAATTAAAAAAGGCTGTAACCCTTTATGGCCCTCAGGCTCATTACACTAGAGAATTAATAACATCGGTAGCAGATCACTATGGTAATCTTGCTCCTTATGATTGGAAAGCCTTGGCCAAAATTCTTTTAAAGGAGCCAGAATATTTACAGTGGCACATGTGGTTTATGGAAGGTTGTGCGGAAAAGGCAAGACAAAATGCTGACGATCGAGATCCGAATATTAGACTCCTTTCTTATCCCATGCTCTCTGGTACAGGTTTCTTTGATACTGTTGAGCATCAGGCAGGAGCTCCAAGAGAGATTCATGCTCAATTAAAAGATATTGCTTTAAAAGCTTGGGATAAAATACGGCCTAAAGGATCAGAATATGGATCTTGGGCTAAAGTTCTGCAAGGAGCCAATGAACCGTATGTTGAGTTCGTTGCAAGACTTCAAAATGTTATAGAAAAAACAGTAGTGGGACAAGACTTACAAGAGCATCTCTTAAAAATGTTAGCTTTTGAAAATGCTAATGATGAATGCAAAAGGGCTTTAATTCCAATAAAAGATACTGGAACGATTGACAATTTTATAAAACAATGTAAAGATTTAAATTCAGAATCTAGGAAAATGCAACTGTTTGCTGAGACCATGGCAACCACGTGGACTAATTGGCAATCTAAAAAGGAACAGTCTTTAAAATGTTTTAATTGTGGTCAGATAGGACATGTAAAGAGGGCCTGTCCAAAACTTGTAGGCAATGATCAAAAAAAGAGATCTAGAGCTCCTGGCTTATGTCCAAAATGCAAGAAGGGAAATCATTGGGCTCGTGAATGCAGGAGTAAACAAGTTAATTCAGCTGAACAAAAGGGAAACGGGAGAACGGGCCCTACCCCGGGCCCCGGACAAATCAATGGGGTAAATCTACCGTATTCTCCCTACAGCCAGCCACCCAACACAGTGCCGCAGTGGACATACCAGCCTTAAAAGATGTAGAATTAAGAGGAGGACAATCTCCCGTGAGAATTCCTACAGGAATTTTTGGTCCTCTGCCTGCGGGAACTTTTGGCTTGCTCACGGGTAGATCTAGTTTAAATCAAAAAGGCATTACTGTTCACTTAGGAATTATAGATGCAGACTATACTGGAGAAATTCAAATTCTGATGTCCTCACTTACAGATTATAAATTATTAAAGGGAGAACGTATAGCTCAACTCATTTTACTGCCTTATATCCCAATAGGATCCTCTGTTGTTCAGCGAACAGGAGGGTTCGGCAGCACTAACCCTATTAATGTAATGTGGACAGCTAAATTATCTCAACAACAACCTCTTATTAATATTTTTATTGAGCATAAGAAAATTCAGGCTCTTATAGATACAGGCTCGGATATTACTATTGTTAAACCTACTGATTGGCCTTCTCATATTACTTATACTATTATTCCATGTAATATAAAAGGAGTAAGTAAAACTCCAGTAAATACAATTGGACAAGCCACAATGCATATACATATAAAAAATGAAGAGGGTCAAGTTGCTGTTATTAAACCTTATATCTTAGAGGTACCAGTTTCTATTTTAGGAAGAGATGTATTAGAACAATGGGGAGCTTATATACATTTTTAATATTTTGCATGTTTCTACAGCCTAGGGAAATGAATCCTTTAAAGCTTAATTGGAAAAATGATGACCCAATTTGGATAGATCAGTGGCCTATGACTACTCAAAAGTTACAGGCAGCGCAGGAATTGATTGATCAACAGCTTTTTCTACATCACATAGAACCATCCACATCTCCTTGGAATTCTCCAATATTTGTGATAAAAAAGAAATCAGGCAAGTGGAGACTTTTAACGGACTTACGTGCTGTAAATTCATCCTTAATTCAAATGGGAGCCCTTCAGCCCGGTATTCCTTTACCCTCAGCGCTCCCTGCTGGTTGGTTTGTATATGTTATAGATTTACAAGATTGTTTTTTTAACATCCCATTACATCCAGAAGATAGAAAACGGTTTGCTTTTTCAATTCCTCAAACAAATTATCAAAGACCTTATCAAAGATATCAATGGAGGACTTTACCCCAAGGAATGAAAAATTCCCCAACTATATGTCAAATTTATGTTGATGCAGCATTAAAACCAGTGCGTGCACGATGGCCTCAGGTTTATACGGCTCATTTCATGGATGATATTTTATTCTCATATAGTGATAGAAATGTTTTAGAAGATATTTTAAAAACTTTACCTCAATATTTTTCTCCGTTTGGACTTGTAATAGCACAGGATAAAATTCAAAAGGAAGAAGTTAGTCATTATTTGGGATATATTCTTACTAGACAAAAGGTGATTCCACAAAAAATGTCTATTAGGAGAGATAAGTTATCCACTTTAAATGATTTTCAAAAATTATTAGGGGATATTAATTGGCTTCGTCCCACACTAGGTATTCCTACCCATGCATTACAACATTTGTTTGCTACTCTACAGGGCTCTTCAGATCCATCCAGCCCTCGTTCTTTAACAGCAAAAGCAGAGCAAGAATTACAGTTTGTAGAACAACGAATTAAGGATGCATTTTTAATTAGGATTGATCCTAAATTGCCTCTAACTTTATATATTATTAATACTTTTCAATATCCCTCTGCAGTTTTAGGTCAAAATGCTATGCCAGTAGAATGGGTATTCACTAAAACTAAGCAATCTAAAAATGTTATGCCTTAGATTGACATGGTTGCAGCTTTAATTATGAATGGTAGAGCTCGTTCTATAACTTTGATAGGAGAAGATATAAACAATATAGTTATCCCTTTAACTAAGGAACAATGGGAATATTTGTTGTCAATTACTGAAACCTTACAAATTGCTTTAGCAGATTTCATGGGAACTTTTTCATATCATTTTCCTAAAAGTAAATTATGGGATTTTTTTAGACGTCAACAATTTGTGGTTAATACCTTATTAGCTGTACAGCCAATTCCACAAGCTTTGACTATATTTACAGATGGATCTAAAAATAAAGCTGCATATTGGACTCAAAAATCTTACTGGGTACGTCAGACAAATTTTAACTCTGTACAACAAAATGAACTTTTTGCTATATTACAAGTGTTTTTAGATTTTCATAACCAACCTATTAATATTATAGCCGATTCGGCCTATTCTGTTGGAGTAGTGACAAATATCTATTCAGCTGTGTTATATTCTAATAAGCCTGCTTTATTGTCTTTATTTCAAAATTTACAAATACATGTTCAAAAAAGAAATTATTCTTATTTTATTACTCATTTACGTTCTCATTCTCAGTTACCCAGACCATTAGTATCAGGTAACAATGCAGTGGATTCCTTAGTTATGTTCACCACACCCGTTGAAGAACATCAATTTAATCATGCAAATGCAGGACATTTGCATCTTAAATATAAGATACCTTTTACAAAAGCTAAACAGATTGTAAAAGCCTGCCCTATTTATAGACCATTACATTTAAGAATTATTCCCACAGGTGTCAACCCTCGAGGAACTCAACCTAATAAATTATGGCAAATGGATATTACACATGTACCTTCTTTTGGTCGGCTTTCTTATGTACATATAGTTATTGATACCTATTCTTCATTTCTATGGGCTACTGCTCAACAGGGAGAATCCACTAAAAATGTTATTATACATTTATTGGAGACTTTTGCAGTTATGGGAATTCCTTCTAAAATCAAAACAGATAATGGACCTGCTTATACTAGCAAGACATTTAAACAATTTTGCGATCTCCATAATATTATTCATATTACAGGGATTGAATATAACCCCCAGGGTCAAGCTATTGTTGAAAGAGCACATGGCACTCTTAAGTTGCAAATTAAAAAATTAAAAAGGAGGAGTCAGGAGGATATTCAGATACCAATACTGTTTAAATTGCAAAACAGTCCAAAAACATTACTGCATCAAGCATTGTTTATTTTAAATTTTCTCAATTTACCACAAGGTGAAATATTAACAAGAGCTGAAAAACATTTTGAACAGCAACAACAGCCTTTTGTGATTAATGAACCTATTTGGACTAAAACAGCTCCAGAGGCTGAATGGGAGAGGGGCACATTGCTCTATAGGGGGAAAGGTTTTGGTTATATCTCCACAGAAAATGGAATTCAGCAGTGGGTCCCTGGACGATGGATCAGGACCCGCGTCTCCAGATCCTGTTCACCAGCCCCGGAGACAACTCCCCAAGGAACCGGAACCGTGCCTTCAGAAGCGAGCGCGAAACCAGCTAGAAGCTGAGGATGCTGAGTTTGTTCCTATCGCAGCCATGGCCAGATTACAGCTAAGAAAATCCCGCCGCTCACAGCGACCAAATTTAAATCCCCTCCCTACATGGGGACAATTAAAGAAATTGACCATAGAAGGGCAACGGCTTGTCCTTCAAGCAGGAAAGCCTTTAAACCCCGAAAACTTGTTTTTAGCTTTATGTGCCTTGCTCACCGTTGCATCGGGGACTGAGGTACCTCCGCATTCGTACTGGGCATATATTCCAAACCCCCCTTTATTAGAACCTGTAAAATGGGGAACTAGTGATATTTTACTTTATACCACACCTAGAGAAATTTTGTCAGCACCGTGGGCTGATTTAACCCCCCACAATCAAGATGATGGGACACTATTCAATTTTACTTATTATGGTAATCAAAGGCCTATTTGCATTGGGGAACCGCCTTGCATCCCTCTGGGATGGCAGTATTGGATTCAACATGGAATAAAAGCAGGCAACAAAAGGACAAGGCTTCAAGCCTTGGCTGCTCAAACCTTTAATGTTACCTGGAAAAATTTAACAGCACCTGATACAAATACATTTCCTGTATGCCCTGAATTCACTTATAAAAATATTTCTTATAATCCCATAATTTGGCAACTATGTATGGGAAAATTTGCTAAAAATATTGATGGGTATATTATTTGGGGACCATTTGGAAAATTCGTTAATGGATGTGCTGAATGGAATGAGACAAGATGTAATCTCTCTGTTGTGTATAGTCTTCCAGATCCAAAGAAAATAACTGACGGAGCTCCTATATTTCAACAAAAGACGGCTCTCTTGTGGTGGGGAGATGGTGGAATCGCTAACCCTGCTGTTGCAGCCGAAGAATACCCTCATCACCTTCAAAATCATATTTGGAAGATCCCAGCCGCTATGCAACCTGTAACCTTGTACAATGTTTCATATTCAGGGACTAGTCGATCTGTATCTACTACTTATAATTTTACTAGGTTTAAAATGTATAATATTACTGTTTGTGCACCTCTACCTTATGTCTTTTTAGTGGGAACTTTTAATTTTACACATTTTTCTTGTACTTGTTTAAATTGTCAATTGTTTACATGCTTAAATAGCACACTAAATTTCACTAAGCCTTATACAGTTATGCTGTTACAACAAAAAACTCATATTTGGTTGCCTGTAAATTTAACTCGACCATGGTCTCAAGACCCGGTAATTTCTGTTACTACTGAATTTTTTAAACATCTGTTAAAACGTACAAAAAGATTTATTGGAATAGTGGTTGCTGTACTGTTAAGTCTGATAACTGTAGCCTCCCTAGCAGCAGTCTCAGGAATAGCTTTACAAACCTCTTTGCAAGAAAAACATGTTGTAGAATTATGGCATGAAAATTCTCATGAACTTTGGTTAACTCAGTGGCAAATAAACGCCAGACTACAACAACAAATAGACCTCCTTAAACAAACAGTTGAATGGATGGGTAGAAAAATATTGGCTCTTCAGCATCAAGTGTTTTTAAAATGTGATTGGAATTCAACTACTTTCTGTATAACCCAACGACCTTATAATCAGACAGAACATGAATGGGAAATGATTAGAATGTATTTAAATGGAAACACCTCTGCCCAGGAGGAAATAGAATCTTTGCATAATCAAATTGACAAGGATTTTGCAAAGCAAAATGATGATGAATCTCTAGCACAATTCGCGCAATTGCTTGCTCAATCTTTGAAAGGATTAGATTCCAAAGGAATCTGGCAGAGCATTACCCACACTTTTAGTGGCATGGGACTTAGTTTAATTATAGTTCTCATTGCCATAGTTCTTGTGTATTTTTACTGCATAAGACGAAATACTATTAATAACCTGATCTTATGGAGATTGTTGTTAAAAAATAAAAAGGAAGGAAGTGTGGGGGATGAGGTGTCACTTTGTAGGCCCAACCCCCTCTAACCTGCAATTTACAATAGCCGCCCTGGTATGCGAGAAGGAGGTAGAACGGGAATGCCTGTTCTCAGTGAGCCCTCACCCTCTGGAATCCATACTGTGAGCTGGCTTTGTTTTGCAGAAGTCTTGAGGAAGTGGCTGGCCACCCTTTGTGACACTAACAGCAGACAAATTAACAACATTCTTGAGCTAATGAATTTCTTCCTGGGCTAGAGAAGTTGTGAGAACTGGTTGTGATTATTTACTTCACTTAGATAGTTTTAGAATAAACATTGTAGTCTGTCACGTTGTAGCTTGCCACAAAGAATGCCTTTTCACTACTTAATTATCTGGGCTCTGTGAATTGATCGGGTTTACTATATATGAATCCTAAAATAAAGATTGTGCGTACAGTGCAGTGCAGTGCAGTGTAACGCGGTGCAGACAGCAAAGGTGTCTCTCCTGTCTTTCTTTTCCAAGCGCTGTACCCCCCGTGTCCCGACAAGGCGTGCGTGTTTACCTTGCCCGGAGTTCAGAGTGCTCTAGACACTCACGACAACACACACCCATACAATACGCACCACCCCGTGATGTTTTTCTCACTCCTACTAGTGAATGTAATGTAACACACACCCATACAATGCGCACCACCCCGTGATGTTTTTCTCACTCCTACTAGTGAATGTAATGTAACACACACCCATACAATGCGCACCACCCCGTGATGTTTTTCTCACTCCTACTAGTGATTCTAATGTAACACACACCCATACAATGCGCACCACCCCGCGATGTTTTTCAGAAACCTATCCTACATTGCCAGTACATGTTCCCTGACCTCCCCATGCTGAACACCCCGCGGTGCTTTTCTCCATCCTACATGCCACTTACAGCCTAGCCTAATTCAGAACCTCCGATTCACACCACCCCGTGATGTTTTTCTCACTCCTACTAGTGAATGTAATGTAACACACACCCATACAATGCGCACCACACTGTGATGTTTTTCTCACTCCTACTAGTGAATGTAATGTAACACACACCCATACAATGCGCACCACCCCGTGATGTTTTTCTCACTCCTACTAGTGAATGTAATGTAACACACACCCATACAATGCGCACCACCCCGTGATGTTTTTCTCACTCCTACTAGTGAATGTAATGTAACACACACCCATACAATGGGCACCACCCCGTGATGTTTTTCTCACTCCTACTAGTGAATGTAATGTAACACACACCCATACAATGCGCACCACACCGTGAACCACCCCGTGATGTTTTTCTCACTCCTACTAGTGAATGTAATGTAACACACACCCATACAATGCGCACCACCCCGTAAACCACCCCGTGATGTTTTTCTCACTCCTACTAGTGAATGTAATGTAACACACACCCATACAATGCGCACCACCCCGTGATGTTTTACTCACTCCTACTAGTGAATCTAATGTAACACACACCCATACAATGCGCACCACCCCGTGATGTTTTTCTCACTCCTACTAGTGAATGTAATGTAACACACACCCATACAATGCGCACAACCCCGTGATGTTTTTCTCACTCCTACTAGTGAATGTAATGTAACACACACCCATACAATGCGCACCACCCCGTGATGTTTTTCTCACTCCTACTAGTGAATCTAATGTAACACACACCCATACAATAAGCACCACCCCGTGATGTTTTTCTCACTCCAACTAGTGAATGTAATGTAACACACACCCATACAATGCGCACCACCCCGTGATGTTTTTCTCACTCCTACTAGTGAATGTAATGTAACACACACCCATACAATGCGCAGCACCCCGTGATGTTTTTCTCACTCCTAATAGTGAATCTAATGTAACACACACCCATACAATGCGCAGCACCCCGTGATGTTTTTCTCACTCCTACTAGTGAATCTAATGTAACACACACCCATACAATGCGCACCACCCAGTGATGTTTTTCTCACTCCTACTAGTGAATCTAATGTAACACACACCCATACAATGCGCACCACCCCGTGATGTTTTTCTCACTCCTACTAGTGAATGTAATGTAACACACACCCATACAAAGCGCACCACCCCGTGATGTTTTTCTCACTGCTACTAGTGAATGTAATGTAACACACACCCATACAATGCGCACCACCCCGTGATGTTTTTCTCACTCCTTCTAGTGAATCTAATGTAACACACACCCATACAATGCGCACCACCCCGTGATGTTTTTCTCACTCCTACTATTGAATGTAATGTAACACACACCCATACAATGCGCACCACCCCGTGATGTTTTTCTCACTCCTACTAGTGAATGTAATGTAACACACACCCATAAAATGCGCACTACCCCGTGATGTTTTTCTCACTCCTACTAGTGAATGTAATGTAACACACACCCATACAATGCGCACCACCCCGTGATGTTTTTCTCACTCCTACTAGTGATTCTAATGTAACACACACCCATACAATGCGCACCACCCCGCGATGTTTTTCAGAAACCTATCCTACATTGCAAGTGCATGTTCCCTGACCTCCCCATGCTGACCACCCCGCGGTGCTTTTCTCCATCCTACATTGCCACTCACAGCCTAGCCTAATTCAGAACCTCCGATTCACACCACCCCGTGATGTTTTTCTCTCTCCTACTAGTGAATCTAATGTAACAGACACCCATACATTGCGCACCACCCCGTGATGTTTTTCTCACTCCTACTAGTGAATGTAATGTAACACACACCCATACAATGCGCACCACACCGTGATGTTTTTCTCACTCCTACTAGTGAATGTAATGTAACACACACCCATACAATGCGCACCACCCCGTGATGTTTTTCTCACTCCAACTAGTGAATGTAATGTAACACACACCCATACAATGCGCACCACCCCGTGATGTTTTTCTCACTCCTACTAGTGAATCTAATGTAACACACACCCATACAATGCGCACCACCCCGTGATGTTTTTCTCACTCCTACTAGTGAATGTAATGTAACACACACCCATGCAATGCGCACCACCCCGTGATGTTTTTCTCACTCCTACTAGTGAATCTAATGTAACACACACCCATGCAATGCGCACCACCCCGTGATGTTTTTCTCACTCCTACTAGTGAATGTAATGTAACACACACCCATACAATGCGCACCACCCCGTGATGTTTTTCTCATTCCTACTAGTGAATGTAATGTAACACACACCCATACAATGCGCACCACCCCGTGATGTTTTTCTCACTCCTACTAGTGAATGTAATGTAACACACACCCATACAATGCGCACCACCCCGTGATGTTTTTCTCACTCCTACTAGTGAATGTAATGTAACACACACCCATACAATGCGCACCACCCCGTGATGTTTTTCTCACTCCTACTAGTGAATGTAATGTAACACACACCCATACAATGCGCACCACCCCGTGATGTTTTTCTCACTCCTACTAGTGAATCTAATGTAACACACACCCATACAATGCGCACCACCCCGTGATGTTTTTCTCACTCCTTCTAGTGAGTCTAATGTAACACACACCCATACAATGCGCACCACCCCGTGATGTTTTTCTCACTCCTACTAGTGAATGTAATGTAACACACACCCATACAATGCGCACCACCCCGTGATGTTTTTCTCACTCCTACTAGTGAATGTAATGTAACACACACCCATATAATGCGCACCACCACGTGATGTTTTTCTCACTCCTACTAGTGAATGTAATGTAACACACACCCATACAATGCACACCACCCCGTGATGTTTTTCTCACTCCTACTAGTGAATGTAATGTAACACACACCCATATAATGCGCACCACCCCGTGATGTTTTTCTCATTCCTACTAGTGAATGTAATGTAACACACACCCATACAATGCGCACCTCCCCGTGATGTTTTTCTCACTCCTACTAGTGAATCTAAGGTAACACACACCCATACAATGCGCACCACCCCGTGATGTTTTTCTCACTCCTACTAGTGAATCTAATGTAACACACACCCATACATTGCGCACCACCCCATGATGTTTTTCTCACTCCTACTAGTGAATGTAATGTAACACACACCCATACAATGCGCACCACCCCGTGATGTTTTTCTCACTCCTACTAGTGAATGTAATGTAACACACACCCATACAATGCGCACCACCCCGTGATGTTTTTCTCACTCCTACTAGTGAATGTAATGTAACACACACCCATACAATGCGCACCACCCCGTGATGTTTTTCTCACTCCTACTAGTGAATGTAATGTAACACAAACCCATACAATGCGCAGCACCCCGTGATGTTTTTCTCACTCCTACTAGTGAATCTAATGTAACACACACCCATACAATGCGCACCACCCCGTGATGTTTTTCTCACTCCTACTAGTGAATGTAATGTAACACACACCCATACAATGCGCACCACCCCGTGATGTTTTTCTCACTCCTACTAGTGAATCTAATGTAACACACACCCATACAATGCGCACCACCCCGTGATGTTTTTCTCACTCCTACTAGTGAATGTAATGTAACACACACCCATACAATGCGCACCACCCCGTGATGTTTTTCTCACTCCTACTATTGAATGTAATGTAACACACACCCATACAATGCGCACCACCCCGTGATGTTTTTCTCACTCCTACTAGTGAATGTAATGTAACACACACCCATACAATGCGCAGCACCCCGTGATGTTTTTCTCACTCCTACTAGTGAATGTAATGTAACACACACCCATACAATGCGCACCACCCCGTGATGTTTTTCTCACTCCTACTAGTGATTCTAATGTAACACACACCCATACAATGCGCACCACCCCGCGATGTTTTTCAGAAACCTATCCTACATTGCCAGTGCATGTTCCCTGACCTCCCCATGCTGACCACACCGCGGTGCTTTTCTCCATCCTACATTGCCACTCACAGCCTAGCCTAATTCAGAACCTCCGATTCACACCACCCCGTGATGTTTTTCTCTCTCCTACTAGTGAATCTAATGTAACAGACACCCATACATTGCGCACCACCCCGTGATGTTTTTCTCACTCCTACTAGTGAATGTAATGTAACACACACCCATACAATGCGCACCACCCCGTGATGTTTTTCTCACTCCTACTAGTGAATGTAATGTAACACACACCCATACAATGCGCACTACCCCGTGATGTTTTTCTCACTCCTACTAGTGATTCTAATGTAACACACACCCATACAATGCGCACCACCCCGCGATGTTTTTCAGAAACCTATCCTACATTGCCAGTGCATGTTCCCTGACCTCCCCATGCTGACCACCCCGCGGTGCTTTTCTCCATCCTACATTGCCACTCACAGCCTAGCCTAATTCAGAACCTCCGATTCACACCACCC